GAGACTGCAGCTGCTGGGCAATGGGGTGACCCTGAAGCCAGGAGCCCTGTTAGCTGGGAGCCTCCAGTTTTGGGGATCCATTTGCCCCGCCACCCATCTGGGAGCACCAGTCTGCCCCAAGGGCCCCTGGCCACACATTCAATTAATGGTGTGATAGGAAACCACTACAAAGTTCTCATGCACGCTTCATAGCTTATTCCTCTTTTTAGCACACCATTAATTTATTGAGTGTGTGGCCAGGTGACCACTTACGGCATGATTAACTGGTTATCATGCCTTAACTGTAATATGTAGATGGGACCTGAAGGCTTGGAATTTAGGCATGTGAACAAACCCAGGGAAGTCGGTTGGACTTCTTGCTTGTGAAAAGTAAACCACATGCGCATTTAGGATTGGCATCTCTGGCAAATGTTTTTCAGACCCAGAAATTTCCAAGATCTTAAATTTATTTGTACACCTAAATTTGGCAGGGGAGATGAACATGACCCAAGTGCTTCAGCATTATCCCTGTTTCATTAAGAATAGCTTTTTAAAATATAGTTTATGACAGTTTGTAGTGCTGTGAAGTCTTTTTACTCACTTTTCACAGTGCTTTTAAGATGCTTGAAGTACTATAAATGTTTGTCCATACCTTAAGTGGCCTAATTTCCAACCCCCACCAAGGTATTGACCCTCCTGCAGCTCTTAATTTAAAATGCCTATATTAATTTGGAAGTGTACCGATTACTGATGGGAATTTGGGAATTTAACTTTAGGCACCTAGGTGTAAGCACTTGGTTTAGTTTTCTGAGAGTTTAACAAACCCATTCATTTAAGCAGAACGTATCTGTCCTAATATGTGTACTTCTTTTTAATATAAAACTAGAGTTAAAAAAATACTCTGCAAATTAATGATATGGTAGTTGTTTAGGTTTCTGACATCCTGGTCCTGTATCTTGAAAGTAGGTATTCTTTGTATGAGATTGCATGATGTGATGTACTACCATTTAAAACTAATTTGAACTATTTCACCTTTTACTTTTTCTACAGGGAATGACAATGAGATGCACAAGAAAGCTGAGCAAGTGTAAGCTAGCATTATTTTAATTTATTTTTGTTCTGTAACTCACCTTATTGTTAGTAAATCCAAATGTTCCCTTGAGGCAGGAATATGATTCCTGGTAGATAAAGCACAGGTATGTTGTTTTTCCTTTTGCAGAATATTATTTTTATTGGAGTAGATTTGTTAATCAGATGCTGACAAGTAAGAAATCCAAAATATCACTAAAGATCCAAAACAGAAATTTAAAGGAAATGTTAAAGGCTTTAAACCCCCCCCCCCCCAAAACTTAAATTTACTAATACAGAGAGATGCAGCTCTGCCCAGCCTTCTGCCTAAATTTATTAAAATCATGTATCTTTAAAAGAAGCATAGTAAAATTTAAGCACAGGCATGTATCCTCTAATCTGATAAGCACGCTGTATCTGATAGTTTGCATTGTGCTGCAGGAATGCAGCAAAGGGTAGAGGGAAAAATTCTGCTTACACTAATTTTAAAATGAATTAGGAAATAGGATAAATGACCATTAAAACTTTCTTAAGCGTATATTAGTTTTCATTGACTCAGTACTCATCTGCCATCAAATAACACTTTGTCTCATTCCTTTTGGCTCTGATGTTTCAAACATTGCTGTATTCTGGGCAGAGGGTTGTGGCAGTGTGGTTAAAACCCTGTATGTGCCACAAATAAACTTTCAGCACAGTGTCTGGCCCCTGATTCTGCACAGCTTAAACCCAAGCAGTGAGTGTGGCTGTTGGCATGTGTTCCTTTCTTTCCTCTACTGCTGAATTTAGTGGAGAGAGAAAGGGGGAACAGCAACAGCATTTACCCCCTGGGCTCCAGAGCCATACAAAACTAGCGGCTCTGACTAGACCCTGCCCCAAAAAGCCATGAGCTCTGAACTTACCAGTTGAGATGGAGCTGTGCCAGGAGCTCATGCTGACTAGGCAGTGAGCTCAGAGCTCTCTCTGCTGCACATGCACAACCAAAATACGGGGGAAGAACGTACCCCTCCTCCCCCTTCCCCCATTCCTGGATCTGCTACCACCTCTGGGGCTAAGTGCAGACAGTGTCACAGGCCAGCTGGGCACTGTGAGTATATCAATTTAGTTGCAGACTGACTGAGCACTGCAACTTTATTAGCCACTGGGCTTTTTGGTTCGGGATCAAGGAGGTGTTGTTGGAAAGGAAAGAAATGACAAGTTTCACTTACTAAAAGGAATGAATTTTACTTACGACAACAAAAGATATAGGTTGCATATATAGTAGTTAATAAAAAGGTTAAGCTAATAAACAGACAACATAACAGTACAGATTAAAATTGACAGTGATAATAAAACAGATAAAGAAATTAACCAAGAATTCCCACTTGGTTAGTAACATATCGATAGTCCCTCAGTTAGAAGATGCATGTCAAGTTGAATCAGCGAAGTCAGACATCTCTGAACTGGGCTGCCCGAAGGAGAACCGGTGGAGGCCCCTCCGTGAGGATCTGGTCCTTGCTCTCACAGGGAGTAAGAGAAATCCGTGGGGGTATGGGACAGCAATGACCCTCCTGTTCCGTCCTTCCCGAGGGTTATTATGATTTGTGTGTTCTTTTATATTCTAATTATGCTAATTTTTTAGTTATGTAGCCATTCATAATAATTGCTTTATAGCTGTTATCCTATGGGGTTAAAAGGTGTTAGAAATTATTATAATAAGTTACTACCCAAGCTTGGGTTTATCCAATAAGCAAATTGCAACACAGCATCTTCAGGTTTGAAATGAACGTTACCTCGCCTAAATCCAGCCCCTTCAAAACTCTTTGACTATGCTTTTTTGAGATATCCAGTACATTTTAAGAAAGGACAAGCTAGGCAGTTGAATCCAGTTTTTATCACCATCAAGGCTAAATTCTGAGCGAGAAAGAAGTATTAGGTCAACTAATTTCACAGCTATAGCTTTGTCTTTTGTGTGCCACTTTCAGCTTCTTGATGCCCACTCTTCTGCATTCCCTGAAACAGTCTCAAACAGCCATTACGTACAGCTCTCTATCTTTGTTTCCCCTCTGATTTTTGAAGTCCTAGACGTTTTTTTATAGAGATGATCTTCCTCATGAGATATGATAACTTTAGAAGACTTTTTCTACTCCCTGTGGGGTGAAACATTTCCTGCCAGACACAAGCCTACTTGACAGGTTGAGAAAATAGAGATTTGACAGCGAAAACAATAATGGCGACATTTATGCTGTATATTAGTGACTAGGAAAACAAGTTCACCATTCACTGTGAACACAATGAATGCAAAACTATTAACATGAAGTAGAACATTATTGTTTGCCAGATAAATACTCCTGAGGGCCTAAGAGAACTTTCTCTTTGTTATCCTTTGTTCTTTGTAAAGAAAAGCCCCATTTAGTGTTTTATGCATAACATATTTTTGGGATTAGTCCAGAATTTTGAACGTCTATAATCCGAGTGTGGGTGGGGGGGAGGGGTAGCAGCTTCTATCGCTCCTTAGGAAAAACATCCAAAGCAGGATGTTATTTGTGAAGCACAGTTTAATCCCAAATTTGGCCATTTTTAATTAATGGCTATACAAGTTGTTTGGCTGGGGGTTTTTTTACATAATTCTCTAATCTGTGTGGTGCCAAGGATATGTAGGATTACATTTGTTCCTCCACGCAGAACGTTGCAGCCTGAGACTAACTTGTTTTGCATTTTGCTATTGTAGTAATTATGCTGCATATTAAACCGCGGGTCTTCCTTGTTTTTGAGGGGCATCTTGCCAAGGTATGCAAGGAACTTGGAGAGAAAATGGGACCAGATTTGTGAGCCAGAATGACAGTATCAGGAACACATCAAGTTGTATTGTTTTTAGTGCACTCTACTTTTTCAGCTCAATGAGTGAATTTGGTTTCTGTGAGATCATGCAGATAAAACAAACCAGGGGAAACCCCTGCAAAACATAGACAAAACACATCTATGTGAAATGTCATATTTCTAGTTCAAGCTCAGTACTGCCGTTTCCTCAGCATGGTTAGTTTGCTACAGAACAAGTAATTCCTTCCCTTGCATAGGTTAGCCCAGTATGTTTCTAGGATCTTTGGCATCTAGAACTGGGACTGTCTGTAAGACTAATCCAGGATGCAGTCTGCAAAGGGGCTTTCACTGGTTGGTAGCAGAACTTCCGTTTGACTGATTCCAGTCAATGTTTTTAAATTAATTTTAATTTTTTTATGTGGGAGCAATATTGGAGATTTTAAATGTCTACACAACTTGAAGTAAGGCCTTCTGTGCGTCTTTCTCAATGGGAAACCTGCTTTATTAGAAATAGGAAACATTGACTATTTTTTTTCTACTCAGTTAACTGCAATAACCAATATCTTTTTAATACCATGTCTGTATTTATTTTTTTCAGTATGCTCTTGTCCCAAATATATGCTGCAGTGCTAAAAGCTGTACTTGCTAGCATTGAATGTTATGCTAAAACGTCCAGTGAAATCAAGGTAACTAATAGCAATTCAGTATATCACAGATCAGGGCTTTAGTGGCAAGGGACGGGACACTGCACTGGGCCACACTATTTTGGGACACAGGTCCCCCCAGGTTGCCCTAATCATACAGTTCTCCTTTCAGCTCCACCTCCCCCCTCTAATCCCTGTTGTACCATGCACACAGTACCCTTTCTTAACCTTCAGCTCCATGCAGGCTCCCCCATGGCAGCCGGCCACGCAGGTAGTCAGGCCGCTGGCTCCCCCAGCACCACAAGCTGGCTGTGCTGTGTTTCCTTGCCCCTTGGAATGTGGGCATGTGGCAGAAGCCAGAATAAGGAGGAAGAGCCCCTGAGGCCTGGGCTGCTGCAGCAGCTCAGTGGGGAACCTGGGAGGCTGCATGCTAATACTTCCGCTGCCAGGTGCAAAGCCCCATCATAAATGTTAATTTAAACAAGTTAAACAAAACTTCTGTCAGTCCTGTTTGCCATGTTGTCGTGCATATAAACATTTAAAGTAAAGGCCTTTTGCTTCCTTTGCTTTAATTTTGTTTTTAAATTTTGGAGGTTATCTGACATGGCTAGAACAAATTGCTGTTGATGCAAATCAAGTTGGTACATTGCCCTTAGTGAGTCTGAGATGTCTCTTTTAATTAGTGCTCTTTCAAAGTATAAATGATTTTTATACGTGCTGTGCCGAGGTGTCTCGACTTTCTAGCAAGAAGAATATTACAATTACATTGGTTAATAAGCCCAGGCAGCTAATAGTTTGGTGCATCTTTAATATTTTGCAATAATGTTTGGGTTATGGTCTTTGTTCAAAGTATGCATGCTCCTCGAAATGTTAAGAATTCTGTAATCCTGATAATTTTGCAGGGATGGAAAGAGACTTTTTTTTTCCTTTTGCAGGCAAGGGAAACAGCAGAAGAGAATCTTCTATCCATGCTAGATTTGTTTAATTTAACACAATTTAAAACTGCATTATGGTAGGTATTTTCAGTTATGTAGTGATGTACTTAAAACAAGTGAAACAGCATCAGATAGATTTGCCCAACCCTGATCTTCATCCCCAGGCCCCCTTCCCTGCACCCTGAGAAATCACACTTATGCACTTTTACTTTTTTTAATTTGGCCCATAAACTGCTTAAATAGTGGGAAACTCTGTGTTGTTGCATTAAAAAGATTAGTACAATAATTACTTTATTTTTCCCCTTCGTGTTGTTCCTGCTTGGAAAGTCATTTTGGCTTTGAAACCGATTTGAGTCGTTAGTAGATAATAATAGTAGATCTTCAATACAGACATATTTTCATTAATTACTCTTTCTTTATATCCATAGTTCCAAGATAGCTTTTCAGATTCAAGCCGTGAATAATCATGGAAGGTCAGTCTCATCGTCATCTTTTTCATATGGAAAAAGTAGTTATCTTAATGTTAGTTAAACAAAGACTAAATGTGTTTTCCTTTGTATAACAAACCACACCCTTTTTTCTTTCTGAAGATTTATATTTCTGTAGAATCTCAGTGTCATTTGAAAAATAAAACAGTTTTGGCAGAGCATCTCTGGGGCAGCATGAACTCATTCAGAATTCTTTTTTTTTTTTTTTTAAATAAATGTGTTTTGAACAAGGTTGTCTTCTCAAACTTGTCATCTTACCATGCTGTCTAAAACCCAGTTGTTGCTTAACTAACTAAAATGCTCCAGAAGGTGTTTATTACAACCTGAAATGGTCACTCTGAATGCATGTTGTGAACTCTCACTTAACACTGGCTAGTTTTTTTAAATATTCAAATATTATTTTGTTTTAGAATTATTCCATTGGACAATGAGGATAGCCTTTATCTGGTTAAAACTGTAAGTAGCGTTTCTCAGTTCTGCGACAAATGTCTGGGCTGTTTTATGTCCAAGTATAGTAGTGTTTTCTCTTTATAGTTGGAAATTTCTGTAAGTAAAAATACATGACCTTATTTAAAAGTAATCACTTGAGATTGCAAGCTGTGGAGAGCCGGCAGACAGCTGGAATGTCTGCAGTTTATAGTGCCTGCCTTATGGATGCAAAAATGGGTAGCGAGATGTTTTTATGACATTTCCTTTTCCCCTAATGAAGTTTTGGAGCTTAGCCCAGTGGTTGAGACAAGGGGAGCTGTCTGTTGGGAGTCCCATATTTGATCTGAGCTAACCTTAATTGTCCTCATTATACTTGTCTGGTCGCAGGGAAATCATGTCTCTATGGGGCAGACAAACCTTAAAACAAAAACCTCTGTGCTAGGCATGATCACGTACACTTTGCTTTTCTGTGTACCTTTGTCTTTTGATCTGGAAACAGTGTAGTTGTGAGGAGCAGTGCTAATTAGTTGGCATGCAGTGCCTTCCTGCTAGCCTGCTATTCCTGATTTCAGGTGGCAGCTTGTGAGCAGCAAAGCAAAATGTTTTGGCGCCCCATTGCCTAGCATGGTAAAAGCTTGAAGAATAGATGTGTTCCTAACATCTTCATCCATAAAGTAGGACAGTGCATTCTTACTTTGAAGCTCTTTTTAAGGGCTGTATTTTATTAAGGCTAGGGTTATAAAGTGTTAAAAGGGCTTTCTCGTCTCCTGGGAAAGAATGAAGGCCTGGAAGTTAAAGCCAGCTGCTTTCTAAGTGAAAATAAACCACAAATGTTTAACAATGGTGGTAAACTCTCATTAGGTAATTTTCAAAGGGAAGTGTTGGATTTTCTATTCACTGATGCACTCAAAAACAAGAAATGCCATGTCTTTTATTGGAAATGGCAGCAGAAGGCTGGAAGGTGTCACATGCTTTGAGTCCCATCCCTTGCAACTGTAGGCAGCCATGTGTCACAGGAATATCTGCTCGGAACCCTCCAGCACCCCTTACCCACAAGGGACACTATAACCCACGCCCTCCCTCTTTTAGTGTTACAGGAAGAGGGCAAGAGGGTTGGTTAAAATCATATGGGCATATTTAACTTGGGGTAGTAGAGCAGACCACACAATACAACAGAAGGCAGAAAATCTTCTATAGTCCTTGTTGTTTTGACCTAGGTATAGATTGCTTCTTGGCTCCAAATCTGAATACAGGAGCAAGATGCAACAGCCACATACCTGGGTGATTTCGTAGTACTTTCCTGCTGCAACAGCAGTATGGAGTTATGAATTTTACTACTTAAATTCAAAGGGTTTTGACTTGAAATTTTTACTGACTTATATCAGCATCATATAATATTGGGTAAAAATTGATACCATAAATTGACTTATCATGCAATTGATATAATCATTGCTTACTACTGGTCCTAAAGATTTTTTTTTCTTTTAGATCTCTTTATTCCATATAAGCACAAATGGGAGAGCCATGTGATGTTAGGTGTATCATATTGGGTACAGTCCTGGTTGCGTTTAATAAAGAGAGAAGTTTGATTTTTTTTTTTTTTTAAAGACGTATTCTATTTTGATCTATTAACCTTCACCTTATTAATTCGATTGCTTTATCAGTATTGAAAGAACTCTTCAGTTCTCAGTATAATACAAGATAGCTTTTATGTCATGTACTAGTTAGTCTGAAGTAGTACATGTGCATATAAATATAGATATGCTGAGGGAATACAAAGATCATATTTGGAAAATTGAAAACCATTTGAAACTTGATGGAGTTTTGAACTCTGGGTTTCATAAGATCAGAACCCTATTGCACTGGTAAAATCCTTGGCTCTTTTATTTGTGTGTGTAGTGTGGAAGTATATTATTTAAAACAGCTAAAACTTCTGTGAAATCTGTTCTTGCTGTATTCGAAACATTTCACCTAAGAAATTGGAATCTAATAAAAGGCTCCTCTGCTTCGTCTCCCTCCCCCTTCCCACCAATTTGCTCTAGGCGGCTATGACCATATATGACATCCCAGATTTGCTAGGCGGAAGGGGATGCTTGGGATCTGTAGCCTTTTCAGAATCATTTCTAACAACCCAAATATGTGTGAAAGAGAAAGGTAACTATTTCCGTGTTACTGTCAAGCTGTAATGTGCATATTGCTATTCTCTGAATTTGTTTCTGTATATTTGTAATGTAGCAAAATGCTCTCTTTCAGTATTGTTCCTACCACTGATTATATGTTGAAGTTATTAGTAATGATCTCATGTGAAGTGTTAGTTGACTAGCAGTCTAAATCATCCAATTAGTTATTTTGTAGACAGAAGTTTTGTCTCTCTGCATCCAATCTAAAAGCCTTGTTTCACTCTGGTAGGATTACTTGACAGTCTCTCTGTCCTACTGAATATTTATTTGTTGCTTTTCACAATTAAAAAAAACCATTTTTTCTTTACATTTCCTAAACCACTACTTTGTCTTGAATAGAAATCAGTAAATAAACTAAAAAGGAAATGGATGCAACTTTGCTTTTGGAATAGAATTTTTCCTGAAATACACAATAGAGGGTAACCTTCAAGTAGCTTTAAACCCCCATTAGATGTTTTCTACAGTGCTGAAGTGAAGAAAACCACTTAACTGCCAAGGTTTTGTGTGTTGTCTATGTATAGGAATTCTTAAAATACTTAGTCTCTTAAAGACGTGCTCAAGGCAGAGGTTGTAGCCAAGAGTGGAACATAGCATCACAATTTTGAACGATGGAGCAGGAGAGGAAGGACTGAGAGGGGAGACAGTTATCTGACACTTGGTGGTTTTTAAATAATTTTTAAAAACACCTAATACCAATTGTATGTAAAAGGTGTCACTGAATTTGGGGTCAAACTTTGAGAAAGTGGATGAGCTGGGGAGACGAGGCAAGAAAGAGTTGAGGAATAAAGTAACATGTTGAGGTCAGAGTCGTGTGTAAACACCTAGGCATTGGGGTCTTGAACGGGCAGCCTCCCACTTGTATTGTAACACCAGTTTACAACAAAGGTGTGGCAGGC